CGTAGCCCATCATTTTATTTTGTTTTAATTGAGATAAACTTCACATCCCATGAAATTTTACCCTAAGCCCATCATTTTAGGCTGAAATTCATTATATTTAGTAGATGTTTAGTTTTAACTTTGTTCAGTTTGGTTTTCATGATTTTCACAACACCATATTTGAAAGGTGGAAAGATTAAAAAAATTTTTTTCTCGAGACTGTGAATTTAGGTGGGGGCTTGCCCTACTCAGAGCTACCACACTTGATGATGGAGAGATAAAATGTAGGACCAGGGAGCCAGGAACCACTCCGTAGCTTTGCAGCTGGATTAAAGGTCCATTTCGTCTGGGACTCCTAATTTCGTGGTAGGATCAAATCACACAGTCAGGATATGTTCTTGAATTATTTAAAGTGATCGGAAAATATCCTGTATTCCTGCCTCCCCACCAAGTTTGCTAAAGCCTTGTCCTTTGTAAAAGGGGAATGAGTAAGTCAACAAAGTCAGAAGAATTTTGTTTGGTTCTCTGCCCAATGCCTGAGGGTTAGAAGGTTAAATTGAAAATTTACTTTCAGTCAGTTGTACAATAAGAAGTCATGGATTGCTACTTGTTGGGCATCTGAAACAACTTTATTTTGAGGAACAGAATGAGAATTACTCAGTATTTTAGCTGAAAGAGAAAAATCTATCCTCTGATCAATGGTATTGCAGGCAGTCTTTAGGGTTGAGAAACTGGAGCAAAATAATGTGGTGAAGGAACTTTTGGACTGTCGCATATAATGTCAAATAAGAATAAGTTAATTTGTTATTTGTTCATAGGATGCCTTTTAGACCTTTTGTTACAGTATCTTAGGCATGCACTAGCTTGGAGCCTGTATCATAAAACTGCCTTGGTTATTTGTAAACATTAAATTATGAATGATGGATATTATCCACATATAAAAACCTTGACTGGAAATAATTCTGTTGGAGCTGGGTGGAAATAGTTTAATGGACAGGCATATGTAGCCAGAGAGATTAGAGGTGCAAGCTTGTGAATCTGGGCAGCACAGAGTTTCGACTGCAGGTTGCTCACAGGACAGTAATAGACGGGCACTGCCAGCGCCCCAGGCTGCAGTCTGCTGCCGAGCGAGGGAGAAGTGGAGGGTGAGAGAAAAGAGAACCTGCCTGCCTTCTAACTGTGGTAGCCCTTGTGACTGTAGGTTGGTGTTTCATAGCTCCCAGAGGAGGAGCTGAGTTAGAAGTTGTGCAGTGAGGGGCCTGGGACAGTGGCAGAGGGGCACAGATGCCAAGAGGAATACAGGTGGCAGAAGTTTAAGCTTGTAGAGCAGAAGTGGGCAGCCTTCCAGAAGTGATGTGTCCAGTATTTTTTTATTCACCACTTGATGGACTTTTTTGGCAGGGATGCATTCTAATGAAGCCTCTTTGGAAGAGAATTTACATGGCCCAAGATGCTGGGTCTCAGACTTGAGGGGACTGCTGCCAAGTTATAATGGCTGCCTTCTGTGCAGGTGTTTTTGTGAGAGAGCCACAAACGTTCTCAGTAAGGCCACTGTCACAGAGAGTGAAAGGCAAACGTTCAGGGTCACTCTCAGAGGTCAGAGTGTGCAAGCGAGGAACCTGCATCGTTGACCCCAGGGACACATCCGAGCTGTCCATGGGCTGTCCAGGCAAGTTAAGTTTGGGCAATAGGTTTCTGTGGTGTTAAAAGTGGTGCTTCTGGAGCCCGACTGCCTGGATCTGAACTCTAGTTCCACCTCTCAGTAGCTGAGTGTTACCATGACCAAGACGCTATAAACTCTCTGCCCTTCAGTTTCCTCCTCTGTAAAGTGAGAGTTTTGGTAGTACCCGACTCATGAGTTGTCTTGAGTACCAAACATAATGCACATACGGCTCCCAATAAATATTCAATGATGATGATGATGGAATAAGTTAATACTACTATAACTTCTAATATTAGATGATGATCATGATAGTGACAGTCATTGAAACGGGCTTGGCTGTGAGTAGAAAGTGTACCGTGTGCAGCAGGGCAGGGGCACCTGGCTCCTCCCTCTTGCCCAGGCCTCTCTGTCCCTCACCATAGGATGCACTCCAGTTACCACCCAAATGGCTAGACAGCTCTCCCTCTGAATGGGCTCCTCTTAATTGCTTTCCAACCACTTAACTAGCACTGAATCACTGCCGACCTGGCATCATTTTGATTGGTCTTCCCGGCCTTGGTTGTGGAGTCTCAGAAGACAAGAACAGTGTGTTCTGCTTACAGTCCTGGAGTCATAGAAGGTGTGGGATTCTTTTTGTCAGTCAAGGCCCAGAGTTCTGCACAGGGGTCTTACACAGAAAGTAAGGTTCTTCTTAAAAACGGTGGGGTTGGGGAGGAGGGGGACTTTGTAGAGACAGGTGGGTCTCTGGCACGCCTGGTGGGGATTGCTGTTCTGGAGTCTGGCCTTGTTAGAGTCTTCCTGAGGGTTCTTTATCTCTTTGCAGGGATTTAGCCTCAGGCTGACGTAAACACAGGTTTCAGATTTGTAAAACCTTGAGCAGACCTGGAGGCTTTTCTTACCATGGTATCCCCTGGTGACATAAGTGTGCTGTGAGCAGGACTTGGAGGTGGCTGAGGGCTGTGTAGGAGGGAGAGGAGGGATGGGGGCTGGGCAGAGAAGGAGGAAGAGAGGGCGATCATTATAGTTCCCATCCTGTTAAGAATCTCACCAAACTGGCCTACTGGGTTGTTGAAATAGAGGGAGCCATAGGAAGCAGCTGGCAGAAAGATCTACCCAGCCTCCTAGTGGAGGATTTTTTTCCCCCAAAAAGACATACATTGCCAGGAAAAGCTAACAAAAATTTCAAGGCAGATTTGGAGGAATTAAATTATTCTTAGGCATATTGCCTGGTTTCCAGGCATTTAGGGATATGCAAATTGGCATGTTCTTTAGAGTTCTGTGTCTCATTTGTAACAGAGCACATTAGTACTAAAAATGGGATTTGCTAGTTCTACATTTTTGCGTGAATTTATGCAGTGAATATCTAATGTGATTCTGGATCTATCAAAAGGAGGGGTTGTCTTCAAACATAACATAGTTTATTTTTCTCATATGTTCTGCTGGCTGCTTTAATTTTTTTCTCTAATGACTGAAATACAAAGTAGAGTACTATCCCAAATTAATATTCTTGCTACACAAAGATCTCCAGTGTTTGTTTTTGCTTCTTTTAATGTGTAACTCTCCTAAGAGTGTTATTGTATTACAGCTAAGAGGCTTTAGCCATGTAAGGCTGAATGCTTTACACTTCTGAATGCCAGCAGAACAATTAATCTGCGATTAGATTTTGCTTCTTAAGATGCCTACACTGCAGAGTGCCTATAATATTAAACTTCTAAAGGGTTCCACTCTTTAAAACCTAGAAAAGCTCTCTTTGACATAGCTCAGTGAAATTGTAGGGCTATTGTTTTTATTGCTTTATTGTTCAGCCAGCTTAACCGAAACCTTTAGTTTGCTTTTACTCTTTACAACAAAGATAACGTTGAGAAACCACCGGGGCACAGTGCGTGTCCGTGTGTTCGCTGTTCCATGCTGTTCAAGCCACTGCCAACTCAGAGAGCCTTTGACTCTCTCGTCCCTCTGCCTCCCCTGTGTTAAAAAGTGAAAAGGAAAAAAACTTTCTTTTCCCATTTCCCCCTGCATTGAGCTGTCTTCATAGAGTAATCTGCAATAACCACCCCTACTTTCCCTTCAATTCCTTAATTCCTAAAACTCTGGTTCCTTACATCAGGACTCCTAGAGCTGGCTTTCTCAAGTCCTTGATGATTCCACGATGGACAGAGCCCCAGATGACCTAGCCCTGCCTCAGTTTCCCCTTTAGTCTTAGTGATCACCTTTTCTTACCTGAACCCTCTTGTCCCTTCTTTCCAGGACGCAACATTGTCTCCAGACCTTGACTTTCCCTTCCCAGTGGCGTTCACTAGCCTCAGTGTTTGGTCTTTGGATCTTTTATTCTTTTTTTTTTTAACTTGTAATGTTTTTCCTGTGAGTTCCTTTGTTCCATTGAGTTTGGCCTTGCCTGCTTTGCAGCTGATCTCCAGATCTCAAGTATGTTCCCTCTTCTCAGTCACAGACCAGGTTTTCAACCTACCAGCCCATTTGCGGTTGGTGCCTGGCATCCCCCAAGCCCATCAGACCTCCTGGTGCCCCTTTGCCTGACACTGGTAACAGCTATGTTCTTCTCTGGAACTCAGGATCAGACACCTTTGACCCAGTTTTCAGCATTACCATATCCACACGTCCTTCTCTGAGGTGTCTACACCTTCAGCCCTAAACTTTCCACACCTTCTGCTACCACTTTAGGTCGTGCCTTCGTGGCCATGTGCCCAGACGGCTGCAAAACCCCCTTCACAGCTTTCCTGCCCTGTGCCGACACCAGTCTCTCCTGCACGCCCATCGGCTGAGGCTCTTCAGGCACACCTCTCATCTTGCCGCTCCCCTTCCCCCAAGCCCCTCCGCCACTCCCCGCTGGAGACGGCATTGCTCACAGGCGCACAAAGGCGTCGTCCAAGCTCTACTCACCTTTCTCACCTGGATCCAACACTCCCTCTCTGGCTTCAGATATCCTGGACTGCCTGTTCCGGCTCTTCCCAGAATATGACGTGTGTTCAGTCACATCTGTACCTAAGATCATGCCACACATTCTCTTCTGTCTTCAGATGCCAGCAGTCAGGTGTGGTCTGTCCCTCATCTGAACTCCCTGGAGTTTCTTCTCTCTCTCTTACGGCATTTCCCTAGTGTTATGATTCCCATCTTATCTTTGAGACACACCAGCACCCCTCCCACCCCTCTCCGAGCCTTCTTAGAAGGCGGGGCCTGCCTGCCTCATTAATCTTTGTTGTGTATACTGAGTCAAGCAAAAGTCTGCCGGCCTGTGTCCATCTGCCAGATTAAGTCCTTGTTGAATGGCAGTAGGAATTCAGATTCACACAGATGGCCAAGTGTGCTGTTCATTCATAAGTCCTGTTTTCCCCTTTTGTAGGTGAAGCTTGTGTGTGGCGTGCCACAGTCACATTAGACGACAGATGGACGGTGTGACAAGAGTGTCAGAAAGGATCGGGCCTCGCTGTGAGAGTCAGCCTGGAGTCATCGTGTTGACAAGTCGCTGAAAAGGAAGCCAGTGGGAGGATTGCAGCCTGCAGAGGAAGTGGAGCCCTGACTCGGGTCACACCATTGATGGAGGACAGATGGACGGCCGGATGGCCAATCACCTCTCCTCTTAAACCTTTGGAGAATTATCCTTTGTCCTCTGCTGGACACACATTAGGAATCTTAACACCCTCTCTGAGTTCATTGTCCATAGAAACGTAGAGTTAGACTCAGCGTCGCATGGTCCCCGGCCTGCAGCCATGAGTGCCGAGGGGTACCAGTACCGAGCGCTGTATGACTATAAAAAGGAGCGGGAAGAGGACATTGACCTGCACTTGGGTGACATATTGACTGTCAATAAAGGATCCTTAGTCGCTCTCGGATTCAGTGACGGACAGGAAGCCAGGCCTGAAGAAATTGGCTGGTTAAATGGTTATAATGAAACCACAGGGGAGAGAGGCGACTTTCCGGGAACTTATGTTGAATATATTGGAAGGAAAAGAATCTCACCTCCCACACCAAAGCCCCGGCCGCCTCGACCCCTTCCTGTCGCACCAAGTTCTTCAAAAACTGAAGCAGACAGCGAGCAACACGGTCAGTATTGATGAGTGATTGCTTAATGACTCACCTGTGTTTTTTAACAGGAAAAGTCTTGGGTTGGGTTGGGCTGAAATGCTCCGGGCTGAAGTTGTTTTGGCAACTTGACCTGAATTTTACTTATGGGGCATGAAAGTTTGGTCATTCATCCCTTGGCTAGAATTTTGTGTTGGTGGGGTGGAGAGTTGTTATAAAAATAGGGAGATGATATCTGAGAACCTGTTTAGTGAGTGCCTCTAAACACTATTATTAGAGTTGCTGTTGAACACCTGTTGCATTCTTATTCTTGTAATTGGTATTATATATCGAAGTAATTTTAGGAAAGTAGAAGGAAGTTCTAATATAAATATGTTTTATATTAATGTGATCTGCATGGAAAATGTAGAGAGTAATAAGGTGACCACAGAAGTCAGTGAAGAAGCCATTCTTTTTACAACCCGGTGTCTACCTCTTAGTTCCTCTCCAGGAGCACTGGCTGCAGCTGAAACCCAATCCTGTCATTAGTGCAGGCGCACAGGGAGTCCTCTTCCTTCCTGGGCAGTGTCATATGTAGCATTAATGCCAACAGTGTGCTAAAACACAACATCGAAGAAATCACTGAATACTTCTTTTCAAACAGAAATTGCCTTGATCCAAAACCCTCTCCTCATTCGGTGGAGATGGTCCCCACTTGAGCTTGAGGTGTTTCTTCTGTTCTGTTTCACAGAGAGGCAAGCCTTTTGCTCAGCTTTGCTGTTAACAGCTCTGTTGGCTAGTTCATTTCCTCACTATTGAATCTCAAGCATTGTTCTCCCTGGATCATCTTTTTTTCCCAAAGACCGAGAAAGGTCTGGAAAGATGTGTTTCAAAGGGGTGGACTCAACTGCAGTGGTTCTGTGTCGAGTAGAACTGACCATGGCATCACAGTGTTTCTGGAAGACGTCCTGGTACTATTGTGTCTTCTCCAGCGTTGGCTTGGTCTCGCACAGATGCATAAGGTACCAGGAATAAAGAAGGAGAATGAGAGTAAATGGCTGCCTTTTAACATCGGGTCATAATAGAATTGGGAGTATTTTATAAAAGTCAAAAACTCACTGAGGATACTTGAAGGGAAGTACTTTTCCCTCCCACTCCCGATCCAAAAGGAATACTTGTTTTATAAACACTACACCATACTTTGGAATTCATGTCCAAATGGTATGTTTCACTGTGCAGTTCAAAAGCAAAAATTAATTTTTCTTTCCAGATGAATCAAAAAACCTTGACTCTGCACATATATATATACAGAAACATATACACACACATAATTTTGTCAACCATTGTGTTTCTTGCATAGTTTCATTCAGCAGAGGGAAGATATATACGTAATTGTTTTTTCCCCACCACACTATATATTTTTGATTTGACTTTTGATGTAAGTTAGATATACTTCCTTGTAAGTAGGCTAGCTCAAAAGGAAAACTGATATTATTTCTCCCAAAATACTAAAGATTAATAGGATCATAGAAGTCTCTGAGTTGGATTAGAAAAGTTTATTTAAAAGATGGGAAGGGGTCACCTTGTCAAGATTAGTGACAAAAAGATTTTGTAAAAATAATGTCTAAACAAAACTGTGTTTGATACCTGCTGCTGTCAGGTGTAACTTCATTTGGTTATCGTATACAGAAAAGCAAGTCTTCCCCTAAAAGTGAGTTTCTCTTTTTAGGTTCTAAACTATTTTATAATGCTTTCTTTCTCATGTAATGTGGTAACGATTGAGATTTTTAATAGCTTTTTCTTTTTTTTTTAATATGTAGAAAGTTCAAGTAAAATGAAATATTTTAACAATTTAAGAGGCCCATGAAAATGGGCATTAAGTATTAGAGGAGGCCTGAATATAAATGAGAAATTAGGAATAACTGAGAGGCTTAAAAGGCAGTATAGGGGGTTGGGTGGGGAGTAAAGTCCTAAACATTCGATTTTCTGGAAATGTGAATATTGTGCTCTCATTGAAACACGATTCCCATGAAATGAGGATTCAGTAGTCCCTGCTAGTTGCATGTCAGATTGACAGGGAAAGTAGTTCTAAGGACAGATTTATTTATTGGAACCTATGGGACTTTGATTTCTTTTGCCTAAGGGTGTATTTAATTGAAAAGCATTTGCAATGACAAATTGTGTGAAGGTGAGAAAGAATAGTCCTTTTCTCTTCTTACTGTAATTGAATTATTTGGCCTTCTTTTCTGTTTACTCCCTCCACTGACTCAGCCTGTTTTTCGCGTTTGACTTTATTTTCTTGAGAAGGTACCCCTGCGGTCGAAGGCCCACCCGCAGGCTCTTGTTGTGGAGGGTGTGCCGTGTGGGCGGTGGGCGCACGCCACAATGCATGTGGGGTAACAGGGCCTGCCTTCACGCTGCTCACACCACCTTCTCTCTTTGTGAAAGAAAGTTACCCTTAAACCCTGGCCGCAAGTAGACTCTGTGTGAGGAGTTTCCCTTTAGATAGTAGAACCCACCTTTCCATGTTTCTTGTATGTTCCTGGAAATAAGATATAACTTTTGGGAGGAAAGAGAGTCAAAAGCCCATTTGAAGATCTGATGTACACCATCTTTCAGGAAGATGTACTTTCCACCAAGCCATCTTGCATACAGTTTTCTTATGAAACCCTGGCCTATTGTTTGGATTGAATTTGTATGTTGGATAATCTTGTGTTTCTTGGAATTGAAATCATTCAGTAGATACAAACTGAACCCTAGTTCCATGCTAGAAAGCCGGGATGGAAGATGAACTCAGGACCGAGAGAGATGGTTGGTGTGCCCTCTGGTCCCCTCTCCTGCCCCTCCTCGGGGCTGTTCTTCCCCAACTCTGCTCTGACAGCTCTTCTCAGCCATCCTCTTGGCTGACCCACTCTCAACTCTTTGCTTAAAGCTTTCTTCTCAAGGAGGCTGGCTCTGTTCACCACATTTCACATGGCAGTCTGCCCCTCTGCTTTTGCAAAGCATTTATTATCTAGCCTACTGTAGAATTTACCTACCACATTGTTTATTGTCTGTTCCCTCTGGTAGATTGTAGGCTCCGTGAAGGCAGGGGCCTTGGATGCCACGCCGTTGTCCCAAGTATCTAGAGCAGTGCAGCTGGTTCTCAGCAAGTGAGCAAATGCTTGCTGTTGAAACCCGTCACCTAGCTCTTCCCCATCCCATGTGACTTTGGAAATGCACCATGTGCTCTGTGTGGCACATGCAGGCACACAAGGCTGTTAACAGCCCATTCTCGTTTTGGAAATCATGGTTTGTTATTCACATCATTTACGTCTGAGGAGTCTTCCAGCTTTGGCCTTGATCGTTGCAGGCTATGTCTCCAAAAACTGTTATTTTCCACCCCATTTCCTAGGACTGGTAGTTCTGCTAGTGGGAAAGCTTGTTGAGCTGAGTGCATTCCATTGGCCACTTAAGCAAAATGACCGGAACATGTGTCAAGATCAGCAAGTGTCCTTGGGCACAGATTTGATGCTCTCTCTCCCCCTTTTATCTCCTCTTTGCGTGGAAGCTAAAATTGCCGATCTGAGCATCACATTTCATTGTCCCACAACCACAGTTTACCTTTGGGGAGAACCTCTTCCATGTCTGGTGCAAGGGTGTTTTTTTGTTTGTTTTTGGTAATGACTATAGTAATCAGTTTATTACACAGATTAATCATTCTTGAACATAAAGCTCCAGAGGAGCAATTGGGTCTTTACACAAGTATTTCCATCAAATGAATTTTCACCCTAACATCTAGACAGACCTAAGCATTTTAAAACATAAGAAAAATAAGAGCTTTTAGCTCTATATTAACTGAGAAACCACATATAAACCCAAGAATATGGAAGTGAGAAAGGGGCTGAAGGACGAAAGGCGAGAGTGGAGAGATGTAAGAGTTGGAAACAAATCCATCACACTTCACACACTAGTAGCTCCCATCTACTTAAATGCTGACCAGTTAAACTGAGACCTTAAAATACAGGTGTGGGTAGAGTTTAACTTGGTTGCTCATAACTTTCACCTAAGACATAGGTCCTTTGGAATAAAATGAATACAGAAACAGCTTTGTTTTCTTTGCCTTACTTTTCGTAACTGTTCTGAGTTTAATAGGATCCCACTTGAAAAAACAATCTCCTGCTGGTCACTGAGTGTTCTGTGCTCTGAAAGGCCATCCTCCAGCTCTGTCAGGCTGGTCACACGCCAGCATCCCGTTCTGCACGCACAGCCCCGCTCAGCCGTTGCTTCCACACTTCCCCCCCCGACACAGGGTAATGAGTTGATGGAAGTGGGGACTTAGGGATAAGGGAATGAGAATGTATTCATGTCTTTCATAAGTAAGCTGTCCAGTGGGGAGATTTCTTGAGACAGTGTTTTGAGACCCTTTAATTAAAGGCACACTCATCCTGAATATTTAGATTAGTGAGACTGCGATTGCGTTAGTTTGTATAGGATGTTGAAATCTGCTAGTTGAAAGCTCACTTAGGAATCTGAGTTCATACCCACTTCTAGACCCCGTCCACACACCCCTCCCCCAGCTCCCACTTTGGACTCTTTGACAAGGGGTCCCAGCTGGTTCCACATATTAAACAATAAGCACACACTTGGTGTGGCCTATTTTAAGTTTTGATAAAAAATCTTTCTAAACAGAAAAAGAAAAACGCCTGCAACTTGTGTTTGCTTTCATGGTTTCCCCAGCCATTATTTTTTCCATTTTTCACACTCAACATTTGAGTGTCCCTCCACGGTTGCTCCGTCTAGAGAGCAAGGGTGTAATAAATCACAGAAATTGACTGCACTGTACAGAGGTCCCAGAAGATAGTGACCTGATCCCAAATCACACGCCTTCACTGAGCTCCATGGTTGTAACGCACACTGTTACGTGCAGTCATAATACCTGTGGAGGTGGTTTGCTTTGCTTCATGTACTCCTGCCTTTATGAATTCTATTTTAGTTCAGAACCTGCCTTGTCATAACTTTCCTCACCTTCCCTCCTGCTTAAGTGAGACTGTGCTGGGAAG